TTCTTCCCATATGCAGCTTGTGTCTGTGTTTGTGCTATCGCCCATTTCCTCCCCTCATACAGCTTCTGGCAGATTCTCTAGAAAGTGAACATACATTGGTACAGAACAATTCATGTTGTTCAGCCAAACTTATTTAGCTTTAGCGCTCCCCAGTGACATGTTTCAAACCTTTTGCTCTTGATTTCTCTCTGAAAACCTGGTAATGGTGGTCAACTTCCTCATGTCCCAGTCAGAGAAAATAAATACTTCCACTGTTGATGTTGTAAACCTACTGAAATAAAGGCTGCAAGCAGTTATGGGCAGTCAATATGCACCTCTGTGGCTGTTACAGTCTGTTTGGCTTCCCCTGCTATTCATTTCACTCTTTTCTACCTGTCCTCACTCATCCGGTTTCATCTGTCGATCCATACTGAGCAGTGTGAGAGCAAAGAAGCTTTAGTTTAATTTTTTGTTGTAAACTATTATCTAAAGCATTGGTTCTCAAACCTCTCCATGAAGTACCCCCAGCACTGCACATTTTGTATGTCTCCCTATATCTGACTCACCCACTTCAGGTCTTGCAGTCTCCACTAATGAGCTGATGAGTTAAATCAGGTGTGATAGATGAGGGAGGCATACAAAATGTGCCGGGCTGGGGGTACTCCAGGACAGGTTTGAGAACCACTGATCTAAAGAAATAGTTGTACCCCTCTCTTTCACTCCCTGTATAGGTCATTGACCCAATAGCCCCAAGATACACTGCCCTACTAAGCTCGCAGTTTGTTCCAGTCTGCATTTCTGAGGCCAAGGAGGAGATGAAAGAGGTTGCCAAACATCCCAAGGTAATAAAACCGGCAAGCACACGCACCTAAAGGACTTGTCAGTGTTATAAAAAAAATATTTTTAGCAGCTGTCACAGTCATTGAGAGACATGTTAAGTGAAGTGACATCCTATCTTGTGGGGATTTGCAGAATGCAGATGTGGGAATGAAGCAGGTGTGGTACGGGCCAAAGGTCCTTATTGAGGGAGCTGATGCAGAAACTTTCACAGAGGGTGAGACAGTCACCTTCATCAACTGGGGAAACATCATAATCACCAAAATCCACAGGTAAAACTCTCAGAACAAAATTGTTAAAATCAGGCTAGCACTGCCTTAAAGGTGCAACACCACTTAAGGTTTTATTCATCAAGAAATTAGAAGTGATTTTACAAATATTTAAAATCATTAATGTGAACGAAACACAATTTTCATTGCAGCTCCCCCAAAAAATATTCATGCCACCTCACTTTTTGTGCTCCGTCACAACCCTATTTTAAAATGTAATTTATTTCTGTGATGGCAAAGCTGAATTTTCAGCAGCCATTAAGAGAAAGTTAAAGGGATAGTTCACCCAAAAATGAAAATTACCCCATGATTTACTCCCCCTCAAGCCATCCTACTATTGCGGTTTCTGTAACTTCGTTACTTTTACGGTGTGAGGTAGTTGGCCTCACGCCCAACCCCCATCCAAGAGGCGGCCTTATGTCCCACGTGGGACGAAGAGGATTAAGTTAAAGGGTTAGTTCACCCAAAAATGAAATCCACCCGGAGCTGCTTACTAATTTTCATTTTTGGGTGAACTAACCCTTTAAGTTAAGTTAAGCCATCCTAGGTGTATATGACATTCTTCTATGGGTGCAATTTTTTGGACTTCAAATTTTGGGCTACCATCCACTCCCATTATAAAGCATGGATTAGCCTGGACATTATTTAATATAACTCCGATTGTATTAATCTGAAAGAAGAATGTCATATACACCTAGGATGGCTTGAGGGTGAGTAAATCATTTGGGTCATTTTCATTTTTGGGTGAACTATCCCTTAAAAAAAACAGCATTTACTTGAAAAAGAAATCTTTTGTAACATTACAAATGTGTATTCTGCCCTCACAGAACATGATTGTGCTCCATTAGATGAATAGTGAACATTTTGGAATAAAATCCTGAGGCGTAACTTTTGTTGGTTATTATTCTTTACTGTAAAACTGAAAAAAAAGTAAATATATGTTTATTTCAATATTAAATAAAGTCAGTTAATCACTTGGTATATTCAAACAATCATAGACTTAGTTATAATCAAATAAATGTGTAGATTACTTAGTAAAACTTTTTCCAAGGCTAAACTGCATTTATTAGCTACGCTGAGAGCTGTGCTCTCTCTCTCTCTCTCGCTCTCTCTCTCTCTCTCTCTCTCTCTCTCTCTCTCTCTGCACATGTCAAATCATGTGCGCATTAGCATTAGATAAAATTATTTACAATGTATAAAATAAAATAATAAAATAATAAAAAAATAATAATATATACACACCGTATTGGCCCGAATATAAGACGACCCCCCTTTTTCCAGATGTACCTTTTGGAAAAAGGCTTTTTAAAA